AAATAGAGAAATACCAACAAAATTCCCGTTATTTCGCCCGAAATTTATTCAAAAATGGTTTTTCTTGACAAAGAAAAGAAAAAAACAAGTCAAGTACATTTTTATGATTACTAGTATAATGAATTAATTAAGACAAAAGATTTGATGTCATCGCTTACATAAAAAACATAAATAGATTTACACCAACGACCTATCAACATGTGAACAGAACTAATTTGGGGTGTCAACATCAACAGAGTTTTCCCATCAGATCCGACTTAACAGTAATATTGCACTCAGATTTTTACTCTGAATTCGAAAGTATGACACGCAGAAGTTTAACAAAAAAAAACCAAAACAAAATTCCGAAAAAATTGAAAACAATGGGTTGTTTGCAAGAAACATGGCTTCTTATAGTTTTTATTTTTTTTTTCGACCTGAAAAAGTTATTTACAAAGGCTAAAAATCATTTTTTCTTGATCGGTAGATCAAGTTCTATCAAATCATGTGTAAAAAAGAAAAAAGGAAAAAGAAAATCTCACTAGAATTTCGCATTGTATGCATATTAAAAAGTAGATTGATAAAATTTTTAGCAGACTCTGTGAAATAATAATCAATAGTAGAGAACAAATGCATGATAATTAACTGATATTTTTAGTATAATCAACTTATTATTTGAATCTAATCGAATACGTTTTTATTTTTCTTAATGAGAAATCTTATTGATCGGTTACGATAAATTAAACATTATATTCTTCTATTTATTTTATTCATCTTAGAATAGAAGATGTCGTTGAATATCATGCCATTTGAAACATTAATACAAGTACTCAAACTTCATATAAATATGTTCAATTAGATATCATTTCTTATCTGTATACATATTAATTTTTGTCAAGTTTCGAAACTTATGAAAAAATCCTATATAATTCTTTGCGTGTTATTCAAAAATAAAATAAACAACAGAGTTTTCGTGTTTAGATAAAAATATAACATGTGTTACAGTCAATTTATTATTCGACAAATGTTCGATTTCGATCGATTTGTTTGATTTGAAACGACATCAAAGCAAAAATCACCTTCAAATGTGAAAACAGGGGCGCGACTAGATTGTATCTTTCATTCGTTTGTTTTTTGTTCCAAAAAACAAGAAACCGAAAATACCGCTTTGCTGTTCGATTATTGATCAACGAGGATATATTAATACATAATTAAAAATAGTTAATTAAAATTTATTAAGAAAAAAAAACCAAGAATAACAATTATAAACATTGAAATATTCATGTCTAGAATAAAGATTTCATTTCTTATCAATAAAGATATGGGAATTATACTGAAATGTTCTATTCATTCTATCAAAAACATCAATTAAAAAGCGGCTATCATGAAAATAATTCTCAGATGATTTCAAATTGAATACAAGCATGACAACAAAATCTTAACTATTTCACATTTTCTTTTTTTTTTCTAACAATATGAGATTATTTTTTCTTTTACAAAATCAATTAGCTAAAGCAAAAAAAAGCATTTCTTTGATTATATATATATGATTATTTTCTCAATACCATGACAAACATTATCGTCTGAGAAAAAATAAAACAGGAAAAAGTTGAACTAATGAAATTAACTTTTAATTTACTCTCACATCATTATTTAATATAGTAGTAGTTCCAAAATATCCCATTAACCATATTATCTATTTGTTTTTGTAACACTTTATCTTTCATAGTCTATCATCTACAAAATCGATTGATTGAGAAAGCTTATAATCTGTCGAAATTGACCTTTTTGCTAGTGTTAAACATATACCTCTAGTGAATATATATATATATACATGAATGAAATCGATCCTCTCACGTCTATGACATATTATTCAAATTGAATTTCATATACGTATACATATATCTTGTGTATATAAAAACTCAATAACATATATACATTTCAATTAGATATATACAATATATATTTAAAACTATGACCTTTCTTTTTATATTCTATTCATGTGGTTAGTAACAATTTTATTAGTCTAAATCTCAATGTCGCCGCCGATAATCGCTTAAGGGAAACAATATATTGTTATTATTAGTATTCTAGTGCAATCAACAAAACACATGTAGAAGTGAAAGTAAGCTATTGTCTTCAATCGTTCAAATACACTTTAGTATTGAAAGGTGCCGAAAGTGGTCGCCGCCGCCATCATCATCATCATCATCGTCGTCGTCATCAGGAAAATGAACAAAAAAAAAAACAGAAAAAAGAGAAATGCTTTTGGTTAAGTACGTGTGCCCTTCGATTATAACTAACACCACCTACTAGTTGATATGTGTTTGATGTATGTCATTTTCTTTTTTTTTTTTTTTTTTACTAATGATCACTGTCGTTCAGACATCTGTTTTATAGATGAACGTTTTTTCTTCATGATTATTGCATAAGATTGTCGACAAGAAGCAGATGTATGCAGACAAAAAGAAATCTATAAAGGCGGAGTAAGCATGTCTTAGCATTGAAAAAAAATGACATTTCGTATCCTGAACTACAACTATTATTCGTCTATACATGTGTTATTTCCTATTCATTCACATGATCGTGCAGTGATAATTGTAATGTTTATATCTAATCAAATATCTATCATCTATTGTTACTTTTCTTTCTTTCTTTCTTTTTTTTTATCAGAAATTCTATTATATGAAAAAATTTCTTTATTAGAAATAAAGAAAAATAAAAGATGGAATAGATCTGTCAATCATCTATAATATGCATGCTTTATATATACTAAGCTAAGATTGAGAGATAAGAATGTATAGAAACCTTGAGATAGAACAAAAGCTTAATTGTGAATCTGCTCTCTTTCTATCTGAACTAGAATTGATGAACATTCACAGATGTGTGTATATATGCGTGTATACACATCATGAACCGTAGAAGATAGAAATAACAAACTAAGCATGAGCGTATGCGTGTCATCACCAACAACACATGATTAAGAAAGTGAATTAATTTTTCCATATATATATATATATATACAGATATGACCGTAAGTCGAGAAAAAAAAATGGAAAGATTTGTGAAGCTTTCTCTCATCCACTTCTTTCCAACTGAACAAAAGAGAAAGGAGAGAGAGGGGAGAGAGAAGGACATTAATGGATATCAATGAATGATGCCTAACAAGTACATATATACTTTTGAATCCATACAATGAGTAGGTAGCACACTTAAACATATTTCTTAATCTTAATGGTATCGTTTATAAAAATAAAGTATGTTCTATTTTATATATATATTTCATAGTTTCAATTGTTAAAAAATAACAGGAAATATTTTGTTAATAAAGATTAACAAATCGAAAAAGAATGTGTCATACAAACGTGAAATAACACCTAACTTACTATCATTTAATAGAATCTCTCACACCTTAATACAATCGTGTTCAATTCAGACAAATATTTCGACACTTTCATCATTTTTCTATGACTTCATCGTCTTTATTTTTATTCAATTTGACTTTTAATGATTGACTTTTATATAGTTTTCGTCACTTAAATCTCGATAATTATCATTTGTTTAATAATGAATAAGATTTCTTTTGAGTATGTATTCATATATAACAATTCTTTCAAATTGTTGTGTGTATGCGACGTTTCGTTTTTCTTTCTAACAACAATAGCAGAACAATTGAAAAATAAATTTGTCATTGTCTGGACAGTATTTAGAATAAGACAAATTATAGGAACATTATACCACAAGAGAATATTCTTCTATATATACATTCGATTATCACAAATGAGTTATATGAACAATTGTTTTTTTCTTCTTCATGGGAAATCGAACATTATAATGATGTGTTGAATATAAATACAGTTTCTCCTTTAAATGATTGAATAAGCAATATTATCATCGTTTTCTCTGATAATGATTGAGAATCTTTTTAGCATCTGTCTATATAATTCATTCAATGTATATTGTGTTGTCTAGTTCTTGTTACACATGAATTCGTCTTTTACTCTTGTTCTAGATGATATTTTTTTCAATTAGTATCGCTATTTTTACGGTTATATGAATACTATTGTCGGCTGTTTTAAAGAGCAAAATCAAATGAGAAGGTTAATTGTAAGGCAATGAAGAATGACACTCTTATTTCTATATATAATCAATGAAGGATTTGTGCTTCTCTTTTCTCTTCTTGTTCATTCGCTCTGCATCAGTGAGAATTTTTCTATGCTCTCTCTCTCTCTCTCTCTTTGTGTCTGTCTCTATCATTTGTTTATTCGTCATTTTGTAACTCTTTGCCTTGTTATATTTCATGCTACGCTAAAGCAAGTTCAACCTTCATTTGTTCATATATATAAGTAAATAAGAAATGTAAAGGTAAGTAAAAGTCTTCTGTTTAGTTTTGTTAATAGAAAAATGAATACTAGAGATTAGCCATTAGATAAAATAAAGAAAATAATAAGAAACATTTTTTTCCTGTCATATAGTATTCATTTAAATATATAATAAAATGAAGGCGGCTTTTCTTGACAAATAGAAAATAAAAAAGGTGTTGATGTTTTGACTTGACAAGTTCATTTTTCATCATTATAGTCTTTCACATTTGTCTTATGTCTGTTCCATGTTTTGATATAACTATCTTTATGTTTGTGTTGAGTGAGAAGAAAACATTTGAAGTTTATCTTTTATTTCATCTTCTCTTCTCTTCTCTTCTCTTCTCTTAAAGACAGATCATATTCATACTAACAGCTGCACTTTATAAAAGTAACATGTTCAGAAGATATTCGATTCATTATTTATTGAAAGAAATAGTATATTATTTAATTTTTGATTATATCTTAGAAGAATAATTATCAATTATTCTAACTAAAGTTAATCGGATATTAGTTTTGTCTGAGCTTTATTTACTATGTATGTGTGTACAAAACGTGATATAGTCAGCATTAGTCTCTTCAACTGCTCACAAATATAACAATAACTATAGATCTATATTCATTTTGAATGCTATTATTAAGAAATTTTCTTTCTAGATAATGTATTTAAAATTTCTATTGATTACATTTATTGTTCATTCATCATGTTTAAATCTTCTTGATATATGTCAATCAGGTATACGTGATGATGGTATAAATTATGTACATTGTGCAAGAAAATCTTTAACTGAAATTCCACATTTTTCATCAAATCGTTTATTTAATTTAGCATTTGATGAACTTATTTTATCTGATAATTTAATAACACATATACATGCAAATGTATTTAATGGTTTACGTATAAAACGTCTTATTATGTCAGGTAATCATATAAAATCTATAGATGAAAATGCATTTCGTGAATTAGAAAATTATCTTGAAGAATTAATATTAGAATTTGATTCAACTATTGTTGATAGAATACCACAAGCAATACAAACAAATTTAATTAATATAAAAAGTTTAACATTAATTGGTTTAAATTTACGTACATTATCATCAAATATATTTAATCAAATGAAAAAATTAGAAAGTTTAACATTAAAATCATGTAATATACAATTTATTGAAATAAATGCATTTAATACAATTGATAAACATTTACGTTATTTATATCTTGATTATAATAAATTAAATGAAAAAATTTTTATTGAAATAAATCGTTTAATTTTACTTGAAAAATTATCATTATCACATAATTATATACAAGAATTTGATATTAAATTATTAAATTTTAATTTACAATATTTAGATTTATCATATAATTATTTAAAAAAATTAATATTAATTAATATGAATAATTTACAAATATTAAATTTACAAAATAATTTATTAACATCAGAAAATATTTATGGTTCAATACCAAAACAATTAAAAGAATTAATACTTGATTTTAATTCTATAAATATTATAAATAAAAATTTTATTACAGAAAATAATTCATTAGAATTTTTATCTGTACAAAGTAATGAATTTTTATTAACAAATTCAAATATATTTCAACATTTAAATAAACTTAAAAAATTAAATTTAGCAAGAAATAATATTCAAATTATACCAAAAGGTAAATATTTTATTTATTCATATATTCAATGACAAAATAGATTAATAAATCTCCTGTCATAGATATTGAATTATCATTTCCGGGTTCATCGAGATACATAATAAATCGTTAAGATCTACTGTAGATATAACGAATGTGTATAATAGGTTTATTTATTCATTACATTCATAGTTAGACTAATAATAATAAATTATGAAAATGAAAAAACAAACAAACGAATAGCAACGAAACAAATAAAAAAAAAGAAAACAAAATTGCTGTTCGAAATGTAGAAATCAAAAAGACATAGCGTTTGCTCACAATCGATTATCATTGGAAAAGAATTACCATCTTTACGCTTTACATATTTTGTATTAGTACAATGAAGTTAAAAAAGATATATGACTTCCACTTTTCAACCCCAACGAGACTTCGCTAATAAGCTTTTTCTGTGTTATCTAAATAAAGAATAAACAATCATTTAAGATTGATTAGCAGAAATCGACTTCATATTATTCATGTTTCATTAATTATCAGAAACAGAAATCAATAATGCATATTGCATGAACAGTATGATATCATAGACAGACGTTGTATATTTCATTTTTTATGGTAAATCTAATTGTGCTGTTTAACGTTAAAGGGTCATATAAATGCAAGGACGACCATAGTATTCCAAGAAAGAACAAGAAAAAGATCAGACTATTGATTTTAAGTATGTATCCTCATGGCTAAAATAAACAATATGCAAGGACATAACCGAAGCTAGGTGGAAGAGTTGATTGTACACACTCTGTGGTCGGAAAACATCTGGAGGGGGTACGGATAAAAAAAAGTCTTTTCGTGAAACAAAAAAATTGTTTTTCCTACTGATGTGCAATCCCTTTGGAGATAGGCTTGGTTTTGTTTTTCAATTTCGATAATCATAACATTGAAAATTAAAACTTATATAATAGACAAACATGAATGTATATTATATGATATGAATGTAATAATTCTATTGTATTGAAGTTTTCGGAGTATAAAGTTAATGTATGTTGTATAATTTCGATTTTATTATCTAGCAGACATAATAGGAATATCATCATTGATTTCCCATTGTATTGATAAAATCAGGTATACTATTTATTTTAGTTGTAGAAATAGATTAATGCATATTGTTGATGTTATGGAATTCTATTACAGTAACATCGGGAACGTACTTTGACAAGGCCAAATTTCATTGCTGGAATAGAAACCAGTCTTTCATATTATATTAATCAATGTCTGTATATGACATGTGAAAGAAAAGTGTTTTGTCAATGGAACATGACTCTATCTGCGAATGGCGTATAAGATAAATTCTAAAATGACAATAAAGTTCGTTGAAGATAGAATTCATCATTATAAATAGAGGATTTTTGTATATGAAGTTTTAAAAATTTCCAAACAATTAAGATTCTACAAACGATATGTCACAGTAAAAATAATTTGTACGAACGGGAGAATGTTCTTTATATTGTTCTAATGAATGAGTACATTCACGAAATCATAAAAAAGAAATACAAGTTTATGCTATCCATCATTTTTATATTACATCTACTGTCTATTTAAAAGAAAGCAAAGCAATACGTCTCTATTAACTTGTTCAAAATATATATTTTCTTTTTGCTTATAATGATTACCACTAATATGTAATTTATTTCGTAATCTTTTGAAATCATTTTGTTTTTATTTACAAATATCTTTTTCATATTATTTTAATTTAATAGGTTTATTTAATTTTACTCCTTCACTTGAAGATTTAAATATGGATCGTAATCCATTACTTTCATTATCTATTGATACATTTTCTGGCATAGAATATTCTTTACATAATATAAGTTGTCAATCATGTTCTTTAACATCGGAATCTTTAATTGCATTTTCATGTTTAAAAAATCTTCAACGTTTAAAACTTCAATCAAATTTATTAACAAATATTTATCCAGAAAATCTTTTTTCTTCTATGTTAAAATTACATGTTATTGATTTACAACGTAATCAATTAATACAAATATCATCTGAATTTCCATCATCATTACGTGAATTAGTATTAAGTAATAATCGTTTAACTATATTACCATTTAATAATCAAACATTTCAACAATTATCTCAACTTATTACACTTGATCTTAGTTCAAATCCATTACAATGTGATTGTCATATAAAACCATTATATTATTGGTTATTAAAACATTTTCAATCTGAACTTGTTCCATATGTACAATGGATATGTTCAAAACCGGAATATCTTGTTGGAAAAAAATTAGGTTCTCTAACAGAACATCAATTAATCTGTCAAGAGAAAGAGTAAATAAAAGAATAAATAAAATTGTCTATTTTGTTTTTTTTTTTTTTTGTTAAATAAATTTTTTATTTTAGAATATCATCATTTAGTGTTTGGTTAAAAGATTCTGAAACAATTATTATTGAATGGTCATTAACTTCTTTATCTTTACCTTTAAAATTAATTGTTATGGAAAATAATAATCTATTACCAATAATTAATTTAAATAAAACACAAAATTATTATGTTCTTGAAAATTTAAAATCATCAACTAATTATTCATTATGTTTACAAACAAATGAACAATATTTATGTCGAAATATAACAACAAATAATCAACAATATATTTCTTTATCATCATCATCATCGTCATCATCATCATCAGCTATAATTGATATTGAATATTTAATTATTGGTATAACAATTGGTATTATTATTATTTTACTTATTCTTTTTATTCTAATATTATTTTTAATAAAACAACGTAAACAATATCCTCATTCATTAAAATCAACAACAATTGATTCGTATTATCAAACGACTGGTTCTGATACAACACAAATTGCTACATGTAATAATTCAATAGAAGAACATTCAATAAAAAGTCTTAAACATCATCAATCAACACCAATATTTTGTTATTGTCAATTACCATCAAATTATTGTCAAGATCAACCATCTTATCATATATATCATGAAATTCCACTTTATAATAAACCTCCTGTTATTATTTAATTTTGGTTGAGAACAGTTTCTTTTTGTTTTATTACTAGTCAGATATTTTTTTTTTGCTTTTGTGAATATTATTAAATTGTGTAAGCGTAAAATCGTTTGTAATCATAAATTGAGTACTAATTGAACATGGAAATTAACGTAAAGAATTTCAAATAAGTTTTGATTTCTTCAAACAATATTCATTTCTCATATGTTGACATACTGATGAAGGATGTTTGTTAGAGAAATACAAATGACGTCAAACTCATAAAATTTCTTATATTTGGTAACTATTTTTTAATGTTTTATTAGTAATGTATAGATTAAAGATATTGATTGGAGAAAGATTTACGAAACGAATTTCTTTAGAAAAAACTCGTGTATTTATATTTATATATCTGTTATCTATTTTGATCGATGATTTACTATAATGAATTTAAATAGAGATGTCTATGGTAACTCACTCTACTCTCCAAGTTACAGGAATTTCGATCCAGGCTTAAATTGATCTGATTTCTTTAATTAGTTGCTTCATACCGTAGTGCTGAGTACTACGCCATCTTGCTAACAGAGCTCTAGAACTATAGTTTGATCTAAATACACACTGTTGAGCATCAGGTAATGTAGCAACGAACTAAAGAAATTAGGCTTTTTCTGTAGCGGTTCATGAAGTTAATTTAAGCCCGAACTGAAAATTCCTTGGCTCGGCATGCTGGCCTCTCTACCCTGCTGGATAGAGTGAGGTAAAGGTTAGAAAATTTTTTTCAGTTAGGGTACAAGGTATAAAAGAAACTTGCCCTGCACATCTCTAAATAGAAATTCGTTCATATCTTGCGAAGTATTGAACATGCTATCATTATAAATGATGTAGTCTAACTTGTGACATTGTTGACTTTAAGTGGTTTAGTTCCATTTAGTTCAAATAATAAAAATTTTATATTTCGATTCAGAAAATTAGAAGTGACATGTCAAATCAATTAATTGCTCTGAGGACCATTTTACTTTTGAGACAATTCATTCATATGCTCAGTCATTTCCAAAGGTTACAATTACTAAAGAAAAAGAGATCGGATGATTTTTTTTTTCTATTCATAACGACGTGGACAAACAATAAAAATGTAAGAGAATATGCAGAAATGTCGAAGATAGTCGCAATGAGCAAGTAATCAAATGACTATAATTTTTGTTATCTTTAATGATTTCAAAAACATGCTCGAAACATTTTTCTAATAATTTGTATCTCTGTAATAATAACATATACTAGATCGAAACGTCTAGTTCATATACTGTAAATATTAGCGTCTATCAGTATGGAAACATTTAAGAAAAGAATATTGTTTGTCGGAATCAAAACTTATGTTACTTAGCACACTATTGATAATTATATGAATATAAATTTGATCAGAAGGATACGAGTTATCGAGTACGATGACATTTTATAAATGAACATATCAAATCTTTTTATATAGATATCTTTGATCAATACTAGTTGATATCGAAGTAGACAAACTACAATTTAAATAGAGTAATACATAGCAGATGGATTATTTTCTTTTTCTTTTTCTTTTTACACAACTTTATCTCATAGAGAAAATTTACTTTTATCTCGTGAAATAGTTTGAAACAAAATAATGAATCTAATATTCAAAAAGTAATTATGTATTTAAAAAGACAGAAAGTAAATATATCGAAAATGAATATTTATGAAAACGTATGTTCACATGTCATTGATAAACACAGATAAATCTTTAAGTAAATTAGAATTAAGTAATCTTGTAGATGAGTTGTTATATATCTAGTAAAATTAGGAATGCTGCTGAAGATGAGAGCTATACAAAATGAATCCTTTTGTGGATTCATATTCTTGCATCTTGCATCTATGATTTCTTGGCTATATGACAATACTAGTGCAAGTCAGTGATGGGATTGGTTCGTGTTTTTTTGGAACCGAACCGATTCCATTTCTGGTATATGTCATCAAAACTCAACAGAGATTAAGCTTGATCGAGGACAAGAAAAACGGATGTTTGGTGCCAGTCATCATTAATTAGCTACTATTTATTTAATAAGAGAATTTATCTAGATACGTGTTTAATCAGCAAAAACAGTATAGAAAAAAGGAAGGAGTGAATCAATAAAAATTAATCTATGAATAATACATTTTTTTTGTGACAAATCTTGTTAAATATCTACTTTGCTTTGAGGGATTTTATCACCTTTGAAGATATTTAATTCATAGTAAATATTATTTCAACTTTTCATGAATCAAAGTCTATAATACATATATTAGCTTTGTTCTTGATTGCTCAATAACGGCTCCATGGTCAATCGTATATTTTAATATATATATATAATTCGCTGAGTTATCGTGAAAGTTTCAAAACATATATAACTTACTAGTGAATTTCTTCATCGATTTATATCAAAGAAAAATTCCGAAAGATTTCTATTAAGTATAAATAGAGAACATTTTGTTTCGAAAGATTCGATTTTGTAAGTCCAATATTTCAAAAGCGGAACGATAAAGACAAATATTCTTTTTAACAATTAATAGCCTATAAAGTTCACTATAAAAAAAATGTTCTTATCTTTGTGCAATCTCATGTTTCCTTTATTTTCTGCAATCGTTCCACAGACGATTATTCCAGTAACCAACGAAAAGTAAAAGTTTAATATGAGAAAAACAAAGTTCAAATTTATTATTGTATTTTTTGGGTTTTTTTTTTACAATAAAATACAAGTTTGTGATTTATTATCGTCAGATTTTACATATTGTTTTGGTACACTTGATCTTTGTTGAGATAATTTTTTTCTTTTTAATTGTTCTTCTAAGTTAAGTGATGTTTGACTATGATTTATTTCATGTGATGATAAATGTCGTTTAAAAACATGTTTTAATTCATTATCATCTTCTAAATTATTAATCATATCAATAATATCAAAACATTCAAGTTCTTCAGCACGTGTTCGAAATGAAACACATCGAGAATTATTATTATTTATTGATTTTGATATATACATTCGACCAATTGGTGGTAAACCTAATTCAATTAAACATTGAATTGATGATATTGAACGATGTTCAAGTGCAACAAATAATAATGGTATATAACGTTGACCTTTTAACCAATCATTTATATATGAATTTGGATTAAAATCTTCAAGATAAAAACCCATTGTATTCATTTCATTATTAATTAATGTAATATTATCAATTGAATTTTCTTCAATAGATTTTTTTAATGGAAAATAAAATGATAATTTTAAATAATCACTTAAACCTGGTAAACATTTTTGAATTTCATTTTTAGGAAAATCTTGTGCATAAAATTCTTCACAACATAAATCACGATTATTTTTATAATCATCAGGAAATAAATTTAAACAATCAGTTATCTTAAAAAAACAAAAGAAAAAAAATAAAATTATGATGAATATAAAAAAATACAATTTTCATTTTTTTCTTTTTGTTACTTGTTTTGCAAGTGCATGTTGAAGAATATTAATTGCTATTTCATCATTCATAATACATGCATAATGTAATGGTGTACGATTAAGATTATCTTTTAGACTAATTACACTATTATAATTTTCACAAATAAAACTAAAATAATTAAAGATTAATTTATAGACAGAGAAAAAAATGATGATTTTTTTTTTTTTTACTTGAGAATTTCTCGACGTTGATGAAGTACTGCTAAATGTGCACATGTTCTTCCAGACCAATCTTTAGCAAAATAAATATTTGATTTAATTCTAAAAATATTTTGTATTTTAACTAAATCATCATCTTCTATAGCTTGTGCAAAGTCATACATTAATGCTGGTAAACCTTGTCGTAATTTTAATGAACGTAATAAATCATTTACATATTTTGTTACTTGTATTTTTTCATCATTAAAAAATAATAATAAATGATAACCAAAACTATTTAAAACAAAACGTTCAATAATAATATTATTTTTAATTTGATCAATAAGTATATTTTTAATTGTATCATAAAATATTTGTAATTTATAATAAGATAATGATGATGTTAATTCAATATCATCAACAATTGTTCGTCCTTGTTCATTACGTTGTGAAAGTAATAATGGTTGTTTATTAAGTATATTATTAAATGTTATTAAATATTCTTTATTTTCATTTTGATCATATAAATGAATAAGATGAAATAAAAATGTTTCGCCTTTAGATGATTTTATATGTAAATTTGCATTTGATAAAATAAATTGTTGAATATTATTTGAAAAATAATTTTCAAACATATGAAAATAAAATGGTAAACCATCAGTACATAAT